GCAACTGGAGTTCCCCATGTCTCCTAGTACCGAAAGACAGTGGATCTTTCAGGTTTGTGACCGACTTTACGAAGGTGAATGCGCTCACCAAAGCTGATTCCTATCCATTACCTCGGATAGAGGACGTTATTGATAAAGTTGGTCAGGCTAAGATAATTTCCAAAATTGATTTACTTTCAGGATACTGGCAAATCCCCTTATCTGACCGTGCAAAAGAAATATCTGCTTTTGTAACCCCTAATGGTTTTTATAGATACAAACGTATGCCCTTTGGTATGCGAAATGCTGGTCAAACTTTCCAGAGAGTCATTAACTCTGTCATTGCTGACATAGACCAATGTGAGGCCTACATAGATGATATAGTTGTATTTTCTAATACTTTTGAAGAACATATTGTTCAGTTGACTAACCTTTTTAGAAAATTGTCTGAAGTGAATTTTACTGTAAACTTACATAAAAGTGATTTCTGTAAAGCTTCAATTACCTATTTGGGTTACCAAGTGGGAACGAACCAAGTTCGGCCCATTGAAGCTAAAATAGATGCTATTGTAAGGTTACCACCTCCCAAAAATTGTAAAGAAATCAAAAAGTTCCTTGGGATGGCTGGTTACTATAGACGGTTCTGTCAAAACTTTTCAGCTATTGCTGAACCTCTTACTGCATTATTGAAAAAGGGTGTTGAGTTTGAATGGTCAAATAAATGTCAAGAAGCTTTTTTAACCATTAAGTCATTTTTATCTAATGCTCCTGTTATGGCTGCACCAAATTTCAGCAAGCCCTTTAAACTTGCCATTGATGCTAGCAACTTAGCCATTGGCTCAGTCCTATTTCAAGAAGACAACATGGGAATTGACCATCCCATTGCTTTTTTTTCCAGGAAGTTAAATGAAAACCAAAAGAATTATTCTACTATTGAAAAAGAAGCTTTAGCTTTGGTTTTATCATTACAACATTTTGAAGTCTATGTCTCTTCTTCAACCAATCCAGTCAGAGTGTTTTCTGACCATGATCCCCTGAAATTTACCTCTAAGTTAGGACAGACAAATCAAAGAATATTGAGGTGGTGCTTATATTTCCAAAATTTTAATCTGGAAATTTCACACATTAAGGGTAGTGATAATGTTGTGGCTGATTGTTTGTCAAGGATGTAAAATCTTATTGCACACATTAATCATGTGACATGTTTTGTGGTTTATTAAGACCATACACAAGTGTTGTGTTCTCACATGAAAATGAGTGGTATGATTTTTGATTTTTTCAAAATTCCAATCCTGTTGAACATTTTGTTTATTTTCAGGTGAACCTTAATTAAAGGTGGTTTTTGATTCTATGTAATCTTTTATAATAATATGTCTCATGTGACTCAATTGATATTGTAGCTAGTCATTGAAATAAAGGTCTTACCCTGGCGGGTTTACCACTTTTAATATCCTCATGGAAAAATTGTAATACCCTTTTTTGAGGGATTTTGATGTATAATTACTTTTTGAAGGGTTACTTCCCTTTTACCAATTGTAAAAGTTGGAGTTACTTCCCTTTTATGTTCAGGGATATTTTCATCTGGTATTATGATTTTGATTGCCTACATTTGTAAAACACTTTTTTTATTTTCATTGCCAGATTGGTTCCTTATGTATGTTTTTGTGGAACCTATCTGTCACTTCCAAAAAGGGAGGGGATGTGACCTACTTAGGTCGAGTCAGGTTCTATTTTTATGTTGACATTGTATAATACCTTATATGGAGTGATTGTGCAACAACCGGAAAATTTCCACTGACTTATTAAGGGGTCTAAGACATAGAAATTTTCCATTAAGATCTGATTGAATGATTCTAATCAGATGACCATCCCAACCAATGGCTACATGAGTTGAGGATAATCTCCCCTGTTGCAGAAGTCTTTAATTGCCCCGCACACTCGCAACACGAGGCAGTCTACAGGGCGATTTTACCTTGGTCAGGCAGCCGTCCATATTGTCCGGCTATAGACTCTGACCATTTGAACGTGAGAGAACTTAAGTCCTGTGTGTGCCTTGCTTTCTTAAGTTGATTTAGGCTTCTAGTATAATATTACTCGTCGCTGAGTTATTCTAGAAGCTCTAGCAGTGTTGTGTGGCCTATAGTTTTTTAGACAGTGTAGAAATCTGTGATAGTGTTTTTCCTACATTTTGTAAGTTGTGTTTTGATATTTTATACATTAAATATTTTAACTAGTTCAACCTTGTGTTTTGCCACAACTGTGTTCGCTGATTAAAGTTGTATGTAGATTGGATGAGTGTTAATTACAATAGTATCACTAGTTTACCCTAGACATTGAATTCGAGCCCTAGTGTGCCGTTGTGTTAGTGTTCATCCACTTAGGCCGTAAGGCATTTGCATATGACCCCGAAAAAAGAATCCGGGGACGTTCACCGTCTATTTGGCTGATAGATAGGGGACGTTACACAACTGACGACAATAAGAGCAGTTTTTCGTGAAGAATTGAAAACTCACTTCTAGCATACAGTTGTTTTAGAACACCATGTTCCGTTCCTAATTTGTAGAAACCGCCCTCGACGCTCATGACAACTGCAATCACGCTTCGGGGATCACCGTGACCTCTGTCAACATCTGGAAAACGGATGCGTACATTGTCACCCACTTCGCCATCTTTAAATTTTGTATTTGATGTTTTAAGCATCTTAGCACCTTGAGTTTGCAAGCTAGTATGAGCTGCTGATCTGTGTTCCATGATGTCTTGTTTGTTGTGACACAATCTGCAGGTAATGTTCCCTCTGTACCCTTCGTCTGCTTCATTGGGCATTCTACAAATAGCATGGACATCGTTGCCACAGGATCCAAAAGAATGAGCTGCACTACAATGTTTTTCACAAACTATATAGAATCTGTTGGCCACATTATTGTCACGCAACTGGCCTGGGCGTTCCGCCACGGAAGGAGATGTGTTAGCTGAGGATGTCGTTGCATTTATGGCAACCTCCATTTCTTGTTCAATTTTCTCAAGATCTTCCTCAGTAACTATTTTATCGAGAGCCCATATATGGAAACTAACATGAATTTACATTTTTTTCTTTTGACAGCCATCTGCTATGTCTGTCTCATGGTCTGACGGCCCTTTTGATCCATGTCGCCTTGCATATAGAATGCTATACAAACAATAGCTAAACAATACGTTACTCTCAATGAAAACGCACCCAGAATAATGAAAATGCGATCACAACTTAGTTTAGATAGAACATTGGCCAGGTCAGCGGGGCCAGTGCGCGCATTGGCCGGCCAATGTACAAAATACGCTGTCAAGTTTAAGCGCTTCGGACTTTGGCCAGTACGTCCCGGCCAGTGCTCGCATTGGCCGGCCAATGTATGAAATACGATCTTAGTGCTAAGTTCTTCGGGCTTTGGCCAAGAGAGCCGGCCAATGCGCGGATTGGCCGGCCAATCCGCGCTTTGGCCGCATTTCGGGCTTTGACCGTAACATATATATATAGATACATATATATATCCCTATATAAATTAAATGTATATATTCATATATAAATGTTTATACATATATAATAATATACATTTATATTAATTTACATCCATATGCATATATATGTATATATATATATATATATATATATATATATATATATATATATATATATATATATATATATATATATATATATGTATATAAATAATTTGTCCTGTTAAGTCTGGTATTGTTGTCTAGCAGTTACTTTACCTAAACATTAACACTACCATATTTTTTTACCACACCAATCTGTAGGGTTGTAGTCTTATTATGGTGAATACATAGTCATATAAGCTGATCAAGTATTCAGAGGCGTAGCGACCCTTTTCAAATTTTCAATTTGCACCCCCCCTCTCAAACTTTTAATTTACACCCCCCCCCCCCTCAAACTTTCAATTTGCACCCCCCCCCCTACCTCAAAATGAAAAAATGCAGCTAAAATGACATTTTAATTTTGGCGACCCCTAAGGTCGGCGCCCAGGGACATATGTCCCGTCCCCCCCCCCCCCCCCCCCCCACATCGCTAGGCCTCTGCAAGTATTGCAATTTGTATTGATACTACACTGTAAAAGTAACATAATACACAAGAACTCAGACCAAATGAATGTAATGCCTGGTAGTTTGAGTCACTTGGCAAGCTTAATTTAAGAATGAAATTCAGTTTTACGCAAGTATATAAATGTACCCTGTTGAACCTGGTAGTCAATGGGGTAAGTTAAGTGAAGTTTACCTGTTACTGTGACCTTGGCTTATGATGGGATGGTGTGGTCAGCAAATACCAAGTCTTCTTTAATCTCTATAATGTGAATCTAGTACTCATCAGAGCTGGTTGAACTCGGGGACATAATAATATGCCTGGTATCTGAACTTGACACTTTTGGGTTAGCAGTCGTGCGCTCTACTATTCAACCATGCGGTTGTATAATTATTTGACATTAGATACTTCTTCTTAATCCCGTTAGTGCCCAAGATATATGGAGCAGATGAAATAGAGTTCATCTGATTTATATACCTCGGCATATGAAGGGATAGTGTGGTCAGTGCTATGCCGAGCCGCCTTTGTTTCCCTAACATAAGTTAGGTACCCATCAGAGCTGGGTGGACTCAGGGACGGTCTACTGATTTGAACCCGGATTTGAACGCCAGACACTCGGGTCGCCGTCCCTTGTTAAATACTAACAGTTTTATAACTTGAAGTAGGTCCCCTAGCCTGAAATTTAAAGGCTTACATACAATTTTTATACTTTGCAATATTTTAGATATGTCTTTGTCAACCACAGTCAGTTTCAGGCCAGAAATTACATAACAAAAGGCGTAATGTTCGATTTTTAAAAATAAAACCATTTCAGTATAATACTTGTTTTATTTGAAGTAAAAAAAAATAAAAAAAGAAAAGAAATAAAACAAACATGACCATTTAATCACAAAACATTTTTGTTTCTAAATTTTAAAGTTCATTAAAACTAATTTATTTATATCCACAAGTTAACTACATTATCACCAATAATTCCATTACAAATGTAATAAATTCAGTAAAAAAAAAACATTTTTTTTTAGATAAAAAACAACATGGTGTAATAATTTTTCAATGGATTTTAAAAAGTTAAGACAAGTTTTTACATACTGGTCTCATCCTGTTGAGTTTTAAAGGTGTATTTTGTTGTAGTTTTGTGTTCAGGTGGATAATATGTTGTGAGGTCAACAGTCACCACTGATGCAGGTGAGTACACAGGTAAACCTGGTTTAGATACACCTCCGCCAGGTGAAAATAGGGGTGTGGTCACATGGGCAGCTGATGCATGTGTATCTAAAGGTGAGCTAGTAACAGGTACACATGGAGTAGATGAACATAAGGGTGTGGTCTCATTATCAGCTGATACAGGTGAGCTAGCAACAGGTAAACTTGTGCTAGGTGAGTACAGAGCTGCCTCAGCAGCAGTTACATCAGACACAGGTGAGTACACCAATGACCCCATCACAGAGGACTTGGGTTTGTACAGCTTAGGTTGAACATTAGCTGTGGACTTTGGACGTCTCATCTGAACATGCACATTAGCAGTGTTGGTTCTCATGATCAGGCCTTTAGCTGAACCTTGTACGCCAGTGACCAGAGTTTGCGTAGTTCCAATGGGTGTTGAGCGCCGTTTCAAAGACCTTTTGATGGTATAGTTGCTGAGTTGTTTTACAGGAACAATGCTCTTTGTCTGGAATAAAAGTGTTGACATAAAATGGCTTGTGATAGATGAAAAATTCATAAGATCTAATGCTTAGATTTAATTACATGTTAGTGTTAGGTAAATGTTTGACCTCAGAAGGTCGCATACTTTCTTTATGTTAAGTAAATACAATATCATAGCATAATGATTTTTACTGACTCTATTTTAAAATACTCAATTCTTCTTCTTCTTCTTTCTTAATTTTAGTGTTGGACAGGATTCCCCCCAACACAATTAAATATACGTGTCAACTGGTTATGCACCATATAGGCAGTTGACTCAGATTTTTCTGCCTGCTTTTCGTTTTAGATTTGTTTCCATAGCCTTTGTCAAGCCAAGAACAAACTACAAGGCAACAGTTGTTTGATTTTGGAGTCATCTCTCCTAGAAGAGTTGCTGTCCCCAGCTAACGAGCCTCATCATTACAGTAACAGAAGATTTTATAAAAGTTGATGATTAAATTAAAATAAGGCTATTATAAATTGCAAATTTTATGCTCACATAGAATATTTGAAATGATTATGCTGCTTAACTTAAAGGAAAAGAATACTGACCCTGGGAGCACGTAAACTTCTAAACCTCCTAATTTGGCGTTTGTCCTGGATAAAAAAAAAAATAAAAAAAAAAAAAACAATTACATCGGCATACATATATGATAAAATAAATATTTATAAGTCAATTTCATTTCTTAAAGAAAAATATTTAGAATAGAATCATTCTTATTATGTATCAGGGGCATAAAGTTATAAATGCAATGAATGCAGTATGAAGTAAAATATTTGTATTGCTTTTTAACACATGTTTTTACAACCTGCTATGTAAGCATAGACAAACAGCCTACTTTATCAAGCTATCAATAGAGTGTTAAACTTTTTCTCTAACACAATAAGTAATGAATCTGAGAAGTTCTTTATTATCTCTGACCAACTATTTATTCATTCATCTGATTAATAGATCTACAATGACAATTTAAATTAAAATCATTAACGCCATTTATCCACGTTTTTGATGGTTTAACATTAGCGTTAGTGAGTGATCCTTAAGCTCTGTTGTGTTACACATGTTAATGAAAAGTCCCAAAAAAAAAGACCTAAGTATCATTAGTGTATTGTATTTTCAATTCACATTTAACATGATCAAGACAATTTTTATTCAAAAACCTTTCCTGATCATGAAATTTGATTATAAAATTCCAGTTGCATGCATAACAGAAATTCCCCAATTTATACACCCCGCCAGAAAACAAGTAGTTTTGATAATTTAGCCACAAAAAGAATATCTCATCATAGCTAATTCTATATAGTATGGTGTTGCAATGATGCTATGTTACCTCGTATAGCATTATAGAGTTTTACAAACAAAATAATTATAAAAAAAATATTATTTACTTGCTAAAAGACTTAATGAATTGTCTATAAAAAGACAGAAAATGATGGGGAAAAAATGGCAATGAGTTAACAAAAACAAGATTTTGGGGTCAAAGGTAATCCATACTTCAAAGGTTAAAAACTAATTAAAAAAATGCTAGAGATTACTTGGGACTTACAATATAACTGACGGTACAGCTTGCTGGAATCCAAAAAATAAGGGTGATAACTAGCACAAACCCAACTATGTTACTTTTGATTAGTTTTTCTGTGGACAACAAGGAATAGGTAATTAAATGTTTGTAGGATGAGATTTACTAATGACTGTTTAAGGAAAGTTTAATAAAAACATAATTAAAATAACAAATAATTTTTTATTTTTCAAATTTCAAATTGTCATTTTATTAAAGCACACAATACTATTTATAAAAACACTTCCAACTTAAATATTTGTATTGATAAACAAAAGGTTATTTTAGAACTGCTAAAATCCAAATGGAAAGACTTACTGAGTGTGCTAGAGTCCAAATTTTCTATAGCAGAAAACAATCTGTGAATAAGGTCTATGCTGCTCTTCATGCAAACACCAGTCTATAATTACCAATAGAGTAATAAAAAAATAAAAATAAAATTTACTATGTGTAATTAATGGTAATCTCACGATATAGCGTAGGAAATTATCTAGTAAACATTTGTTGAGTTTCGGTATGATTCGTTACTGTAAACAATAGCTTTTTTACTGTTGAAATAAAAATAAAGTCAAGTGCATTAAATTAATGTTTGAACTTAATTTAAAGTTTAATTGACAGAAAAATAGAAACAATTAGTAAATCTAAATATTATTAATAAACTCGAGTGTTATAATTAATGTTTTTTTAAGAAACACAGAAAAATAACTTGCAGAAGATTTGCAACAACCATATCTAGATGTAGTATAAAAGGACGATTAGATTTACTAAAGTTAAAAGTAGTATGAAGAATTAGAACAAATGTTTAGGAGCAGCAATAATTAGCACATACACTTAAAATAATTAGAAATACAAAATAATTAGCAAAACATTATTTAAAATACAACTAAAATCAATCCATGCACATTTTAAAACAATATGTATTAAAAATAATATGGCCGCAAATAAAGTGATGGTTTACAGTACTTCCAGTGGCTTCCGGAATGGCTTGACAGACTACACCATGGTTTTACTATTTTTTACTGCTGTACAATTCCGGAATAATAACCAACGCTATATCGTGATTTTACCTAATTAATTATATAAATAGTAATAAAACCTGCATCATTTTGATTATGAGAAGGAGATATTTTAAGTAACATGTATATTAGCCAACATTTTCATGTAAAAATTGTTAATATTTACTGGTCTTTTTTATACAAATTTTATTACAAATGTGTAGAGTTTGAGCAGCCAGCCTTAATTTGATCATTGAAAATTACAATAGGCTATAAACCAGCTGGGAGGGTACAATATCTTTTACAGCAAAAACTAGAGCCTGGTGGATCATATAGCTTTGTGTAGATACTACATGTTTGCTGAACAAAGGAGACTCAAGTCTTTTATTGCATGGAGATTCAAACAAAGATTTTTTCTAAACCTCTAGGCAGATTTTATAACGGTCTACAAAAATAAAAGAAACTGCCTAGTTTTTTTATTTTAAGTGAAATTTTAAAAACAAGCCTGCCAGCTATTTAGATATAATTGTTTTCTACTTTTCAGTCATTCATAATTTGTGAAAGCAGACGACAGTTTACAGACGTCAATGAAAAGATCAAGGAAAACTTTGCCCCCCCCCTCCCCACCCCTTAGTTTCAAATAGTTTAAAAACTAAATTATCTGACCTGGCTCTACGATTGTAAACAGCTCACCAGACTGGTGAGGGTGGGGGTGGTAGGGATATGGTCGACTGAGAGAGCGAGGGAGGGGGAGGTTCAGCGTGCTTACGTGGTGGTGTCCCGCATGGTCCCTCCATGGAGAGAATTATATATATAGATATATTGAGCAGAGGGTAATCTTTAAAAAATCTCTAAGAGAGTCATAAACAGGTTTAATGGCTAAAAAAACATACATACATATATATATATATATATATATATATATATATATATATATATATATATATATATATATATATATATATATATATATATGCATATATATATATATGTATATATATATATGTATATATATATATATGTATACTAGCACACGTTTAAAATTTACTTGTTACTATCCAAGCTTAAAAAATTAATAAAATGAGGAAAGAATAGAACAAGTTTTTCTCTTCACCTGACAATATCCATAGGAACATGGTCTGCCATCAGTGACAACATCCTTTCCATCACCATAACTTTTACAAACACCATCAGGGGACTGGCAACACCGCAAACATTCGTGACCTTACAAAACATAAGAGTTGAACTTAGGGAACAACGCAAACATTCATGACCTTACAAAACATAAGAGTTGAACTTAGGGAACAACGCAAACATTTGTGACCTTACATAACATAAGAGTTGAACTTAAGGAACAACGCAAACATTCATGACCTTACAAAACATAAGAGTTGAACTTAGGGAACAACACAAACATTCATGACCTTACAAAACATAAGAGTTGAACTTAGGGAACAACGCAAACATTCATGACCTTACAAAACATAAGAGTTGAACTTAGGGAACAACGCAAACATTCGTGACCTTACAAAACATAAGAGTTCAACTTAGGGAACTGACATAATCAAACTCGCTTTTAGTAAGAGAATAGGCACAGAATGAATGGAAAACTATTCAAGGTTAAGGGGTTGCACTCCAGAAAAAAAAAACACTTATTAAATTAACAAGCCTTGTTTATTTATAAGTGTGCCTGTAAGTTAGGGTAATTAAAGGAAAATGTGTGCATAAATCCAGGACTTTTCAGAAAAGCTGGTTGCCATGGCAACATGGCCATCATGAATTATGTTTTTATTTTTTTTATGAATGTCTTATAGCATTCAGTTTTGTTTTTTTAGCAATGTAAAGGCTGAATTCAATAATTTTCTCATAAGTGATAACTATTTCAACACTTATGTAAATTTTATATATTTTTTTTCCTATTCAGGAAAACCGAATTTGTACCAAACTATATTCAGTAAAAAAATTTTTAGCTGTAAGAACAACTAATTAATCAATCATTCCTTAACCCACATCAGGGTCGTTAGGGCACCTCCGTTGTTTTTCCCAATCTATACTACTTCCTGTCTTCTCTCTTCTGGCACAGTACATTGCAAAATTGTTTTGGATAGGCCTTTGGTTAGGTTGCTGTTTGACCTACTTTTTTTATGGTAAAGATGGCTGCCGAAAATGACAATATCGTGATTCCGTTTTTTTAACAATGTTTCATGGTCATTTCAGAAATGGGTACTTAAAATTGTTATTTTCACATATTATTCAACAATACCGGTCTAATTTTAACAATGGACGATTACAAGTTTGATGCGAGCTTGCCAAGTGTACATTTTCTTTTGTCTAATCGCTGAGAATATCGAGCAGAACATAATACAAGTAAGCAAAACTTGAATTGCTGTATTTGATACTGTTCTGAACTTACTGAAAATATATATTAACTATAGAAAATTATAACTTGCTTTCTACTAAACTTATGTCATTAGTGTTTTTAAAATAGGGCAAATCTATGAAACATAACTTGATTGAGACAACAGCAAAGCACACACATTTTGCCCGACGTGTATTTGAATGAGGAGAAATCTAGCAGACGACACATTTCTGCTGAACTGCAGTGAACGGTCAGTCACATAACAAAAACACACCTATAAAACTAACCCACGTATCACTGAAAATCAGCCTTTTAAAAATCTAAACGGGTTTTTCACAAATTATTATCTAGGCTACAGATTAACTAGGTCAAATAAAATTGGTATCAAATAATAGGTAAACAAATGTAGATTTTAATTTTTAAAGGCATCATGAACAATAATGAAGTTTAAAATCATAGGCAACGCCCTAACTTTGGTTCATGTAACAGGCCCTAACCAATCAGTTTCTGTGTTTTAACTATGCTCAGTAGACTCACAAAAGGACCTTCACACTAGTGATCCTTTCACTGACTTGTGTTAATAATCTAAAACTGACCTGGTGTCATACAGGTGCTAATAAGGCAAAACTGACCAGGTGTCATACAGGTGCTAATAAGCTAAAACTGACCTGGTGTCATACAGGTGCTAATAAGGTAAAACTGACCAGGTGTCATACAGGTGCTAATAAGGTAAAACTGACCTGGTGTCATGCAGGTGCTAATAAGGTAAAACTGACCTGGTGTCATACAGGTGCTAATAATCTAAAACTGACCTGGTGTCATACAGGTGTTAATAATCTAAATCTGACCTGGTGTCATACAGGTGCTAATAAGGTAAAACTGACCTGGTGTCATACAGGTGCTAATGAGGTAAAACTGACCAGGTGTCATACAGGTGCTAATAAGGTAAAACTGATCAGGTGTCATACAGGTGCTAATAAGGTAAAACTGACCTGGTGTCATACAGGTGCTAATAAGGTAAAACTGACCTGGTGTCATACAGGTGCTAATAATCTAAAACTGACCTGGTGTCATACAGGTGCTAATAATCTAAAACTGACCTGGTGTCATACAGGTGCTAATAATCTAAAACTGACCTGGTGTCATACAGGTGCTAATAAGGTAAAACTGACCTGGTGTCATACAAGTGCTAATAAGTTAAAACTGATCAGGTGTCATACAGGTGCTAATAAGGTAAAACTGATCAGGTGTCATACAGGTGCTAATAAGGTAAAACTGACCTGGTGTCATACAGGTGCTAATAAGGTAAAACTGACCTGGTGTCATACAGGTGCTAATAAGGTAAAACTGATCAGGTGTCATACAGGTGCTAATAAGGTAAAACTGACCTGGTGTCATACAGGTGCTAATAAGGTAAAACTGACCTGGTGTCATACAGGTGCTAATAATCTAAAACTGACCTGGTGTCATACAGGTGGTCATACAGGTGCTAATAAGGTAAAACTGACCTGGTGTCATACAGGTGCTAATAATCTAAAACTGACCTGGTGTCATACAGGTGCTAATAAGGTAAAACTGACCTGGTGTCATACAAGTGCTAATAAGTTAAAACTGATCAGGTGTCATACAGGTGCTAATAAGGTAAAACTGATCAGGTGTCATACAGGTGCTAATAAGGTAAAACTGACCTGGTGTCATACAGGTGCTAATAAGTTAAAACTGACCAGGTGTCATACAGGTGCTAATAAGGTAAAACTGACCTGGTGTCATACAAGTGCTAATAAGTTAAAACTGATCAGGTGTCATACAGGTGCTAATAAGGTAAAACTGATCAGGTGTCATACAGGTGTTAATAAGGTAAAACTGACCTGGTGTCATACAGGTGCTAATAAGGTAAAACTGACCTGGCGTCATACAGGTGCTAATAAGGTAAAACTTACCTGGTGTCATACAGGTGCTAATAAGGTAAAACTGACCTGGTGTCATACAGGTGGTCATACAGGTGCTAATAAGGTAAAACTGATCAGGTGTCATACAGGTGCTAATAAGGTAAAACTGACCTGGCGTCATACAGGTGCTAATAAGGTAAAACTTACCTGGTGTCATACATCTGCAGGGCTTCAGGTTAATGTGTTGTCTCTCACAGTAGCTTAAACACCTGCCTGCTATACACCTTCCACTGTAAAAAGGGAGAGAATATTTACATGTACTGGACTATTATTACAGGACAAAAAAAGCAAATAACACTCAATATTTTACAACAATTGTATGGCATGGTGAGGAAGTACAGCAAAAGAGATTATAAATTCTTGTTCTCTCTCACTTAAATTCAAGGCTCGTTAGCCAGGGAGAGATAAAAAAATTTTTAAAATAAATAAATTGTTGTGAACGTGATTCCTACTGTTAATAAAAAATATTCACATTTGACTTGAAAACAAAATGCAAGCAGGCAAGTACCAAAATGAGAACTTGTTAACCAACTTACAAGCCCTATTGGCTGCTAACATGAAAGTCTGATACGGTGATAAATTGTGATTTTTACCAAGCTAACATGAAAGTAAAAGAATCATCTTTAGATTTAAAGATACATTGGGCACTTGAAGTAGAGTTCATTTTGACTTCGGCATATAAAGGGAAGGTGTGGTCAGCACTTTGCCCAGCCATCTTTTATTTTCCCTAACGTGGTTAGGTACCCATCAGAAATGGGTGGACTCAGGGACATTCTACTGGCTTGAAGCCGGATTTGAACTTGTGACTTTCGAGTAAGCAGCCTAGCATTATACCGCTTAGGCCTTGCCATCCCTCAATATAAAAGTGATATTGTGATAAATTGTGATTTTGGATTAGTGACCAAATTACTTGTCGGAAATCACCCCACTGTGTTGGGCACATGACTTTTATTAAGACAGTAAAGGTGGATGGGCAGAAAATTAGTCAAACAGCATACAGAAGCAACAAAAACAGGTAAACTCTACATTATCTGCGCTATTAAACATCAGGTCCTAAAAGGTAACACCTGCAGCAATAACTAAATTACTAACTAACCAACCAGGCAAGTGTATGCAAAGAAATTAAAATGCAAACTCTATATTATCTGCGCTGCTAACCATCAGGTCCTAAAAAGTAACACCTGCAGCTTAACTAAATTACTAACTAACCAACCAGGCAAGTATATGCAAAGAAATTAAACTATTGTACTCACTCATCTAAACAATGGGTTACATTGTCAGCAATTGGCGGTGATGGCGGACACTCAAGGCTGCGTCCACTGATCACCAGTTAAGGAAATCACTAAACACATAGCATGTAATAAAAAAATATATTAACACTCTCAAAATGACAGAAACATTCAGCACTCTAAAATGTATTATGTTTATGTATTTGGTGTTCAGCATTCTAGGCATTTGTAGAAATTCTGAAATTAAACAGATGAGATACATTGCATAATAAGATAAAGTTAGAACTTTTTTCTATAGGCAAACACCTTGTTCTGAAAATGTAAACTTCCTAGTGCTATCTGATAAAAACTGTGAAGTGTCATGTGATAATATTCCCAAAAAGGCTATATAATCAAACTACAATTTGCCCTACATTTAATTAAAAATTTTGCTGTGTTTAATTGCACATTTCCCTGTGTTAAATTAGAATTAGCCCTGCGTGAAAATTACAAATTGCCCTGCATTAAATTACAAATTGTGCTGCGTTAACTTACAAATAGCCCCATATTAAATTATAAATTGTGCTGTGCTCATTTACAAATAGCCCCTTACTAAATTACAAATTGTGCTGCATTAACTTACAAATAGCCCCATATTATATTACAAATTGCTGTTGTTAAATTACAAACTGCGCTGTGTTAAATTACAAATTGCCCTGCGCTAAATTACAAATTGCCATGGGTTGAATTAAAAATTGCACAGTGTCAAATTAGAAATTACTGAGTTAAATTACAAATTTTCTGTGTTAAATACAATTTGCGCTGTGTTAGATTACAAATTACGATGTGTTAAATTACAAATTGCCTGCGTTAAATTAGAAATTGCCCTGAGCTAAATTACAAATTGCTTTGCGTTAAATTAGAAATTGCCCTGCATTAATTTACAATTTGTTTTGTGTTAAATTACAAATTGTTCCGTATTAAATTACTAAAGCCCTGCATTAAACTACAAATTGCTCTGCATTAAATTACAAATTGCCCTGCGCTAAATTACAATTTGAGCTGCATTAAATTACTGATTGACCCATATTAAATTACAAATTGCTCTGCGTTAAATTACAAATTGCCCTGCATTAAATTACAAATTGCCCCGGGGTAAATAAGACTTGCCATGAGATAAAAAATTACCAAACCCATTGTATTATAAAATGACCAAGTACTCAAATAAAAAAAATAACCCCTAAGTGCCCTATGTTTAAATATTCTGCTAAGATCATGAGAAAAGGATACTCGCAGTAAGCTGCCTGTGAACACAGGTCATCGTTGATTGGCCGACACTTCAAGCCTTTGGTTGCCATAGTGCAGTTAGTACAACAGTCGGAGTTGCTCCGGCTGGTGAAGAGATTAGTGCTATTTACATCAATATCTGCTTATTATATGGGGTGCCACGGCCTAGTGGTAGAAAGCTAGACTGCTAACTCAAAAGTCTCGAGTTGGAATCCGGGTTCAAGTAAGTATAAAGTCCCTGAGTCCAACGGGCTCTGATGGGTACCTAACTTACTTGAAGGAAACAAAGACAGCTTGGCATAGTGGTGAAAACACTATCCTTTCATAAGCTGTGGTCTCTGAAGCAGATTAACTCTACTGCATCTACCCCATGTGTTGGGCACAAACGAGAAATGATGATGATGATTAATACAATTACCACATTTTTATGAACATATTTAACTAATTCTGATATAACATTTAAACAACATCCTTAGTATCATACACTAATGAAAAGTGTAATTAAGGTAATGAACATAGCACCAGACTAAAGCTAGGAATGTTGGTCACTCACCTGCAGGTTGCATTTCCCAGAAACCTACAGGTTGATGAGCAGCAGGGATCAACCAGTCCGCCACTATCACATTCTTCTGGTTCATCTAGAACTCCATTTCCACACATAGGGGCCATCACTCTGTATTCTTAGAGCACAGAGTTACAAATAAGAAATCTATGTCAAAAGTAATGCACCAAAATTCATCAGCCCATAAAAATAAATGCATACGACTTTGCAAATCAACAGATATATTTTTAAAGGTTTATCCATCATTTTATGAATTCAGAAATTAAGTTATATGACTTTAGAAAATAAGTTATATTGTTAAACTTTAAAAAATAACAGTTATAATTTTAAATGTATTTTTTTACATTGAAAAAAAATTCGTAAAAAATTAACATATATAATTGCATTGTCTATTTTAACTATAAAATAGTTTTAAAAATGGAATACCTAAAAATCAGATTAGTAAGTTATTAAAGTAGGATAATGTTTTTAAAAATAAATAAATAAAATCTGATGGAAGCCAAACCTGGGCACTTGTGTGGTCCCTACTGAAGATTACATCAAAACCATAAAGAAAATCCTGGCAAGGTGAGTGGTTACATCCTTCATGAGAAAAAAAACAGGAGAAATCTCATGCTTAAAGCTTATATGTTTTGATGTGATAAGTTTAGCAAATCATTAAAATAAAGCAGCAACATATACAAAGGGTGAAATAGTTTTTTATTATACAACAACCAATGTATTGTGATGCTAGTGTGAATATTATTGTACATAGGCCTACACCTTGTGTTTATGGTTCCAATTTATTCAAGACCAGGGATGCTATAAAAGTTAGGAACATATCTGTAGATGTCTGCTTTAGTTATGGGAGAAATATGAACATGCAGATAAATCAGGCATATATGATGTGAAATAACTAGTTATATAAAGAAAGTCAAGCTATATAGAAATGTACTTTTAACAAATAAGACTAAGTGTACATTTCGAACAGAGAAATTTTAAAATATTTTTTCTTGGAATTATTTACATTAAGTTTATAATAATTGATAATCAAAGCAGAAGACAATTATAAAAATTAAACTTTAGTCCTTTTTTAATAGTTAAAAATAGTTTTAATATTTTAAAAAATGTAAAAAAAAATTTTATTGTTAATTATTAGTAAAATACTGCATCATGCAACAAGAAAAATTCTGCATGTAGGCACCTATGGGTCTACACAACATGCTAATAAACATGCTTTTCTCCGCCTATGATCCAAACCTCAAAGCTTCATAACTACTGCATTGAATTATCTTCTCTATAATGTTTAGTGAGTTTAAAGCTATACTCACTATGTAAATTTTCATCTATTTCTATAGTAAAGTTGATATTGTAACGCTCTGGATAAATGGGGTGGTAAAAAAAACATCAGTGAATTAGTGACATGTTTAAAATATAGCTTCAGACAGGCTACATTTATGTTTTAACTAATAAGTTACAATTTCTAAAGTAATCTATTTCATATTATACTAAAGTTAATCTGTTTTGAGATTATAAGATTAAAGGGCTTGTGCTGTGTATAGCAATCTTGGCTTTCTCCAACTTAGGTTAGATACCTAAAAGGGCTGGATAGACTCACAAATTCCTAGCAGTTCCGTGTAAGAACCAAACTAAAGAGTTTAGAATTAACAAGTGCACATCTATTTTAAAACACTGACAGAAGCCAAAGAGATGCAACCAGTTTCGCTATAATAGTTTCATATTGTATTCAGTTCAAATTACCTTTAAACCAAACTCATCTATTTTAAAACTTTGACTGAAGTCAAAGAGGCTACCAGTTTAGCTATAATAGTTTCATATTTAATTCAGCTACAATCACAAATCATCTTTAATGCAAGCTCATCTATTTTAAAATACTGACAGAACATTGACAGAAGTCAAAGAGATGCTACCAGTTTTGCTATAATAGTTTCATATTTTATACAGTGTAAATTACCTTAGAGCAAGTTTATCTATTTTTAAACATTGAAAGTTTCAAGTCAAGAGATGCAACCAGTTTATCTAAAATAGTTTCATACATTATGCGGTTGAAATAACCTTAGAGCAAGTTCATCTATTTTTAAACATTGAAAGTTTTAAGTCAAGAGATGCAACTAGTTTATCTATAATAGTTTCATATTTTATTCAGTAGAAATTATCTTTAAACCAAACTCATCTATTTTAAAACACTGACAGAAGTAAAGAGGTGCTACCAGTTTATCTATAATAGTTTAATAGTTTATTCAGCTGAAATTACCTTTAAAGCAATATTCTGATCTGGTCTGTAGAACAGCACTGATGGATCGTTTACTACACGGGGAAAATAACTGTGGACAATCAACATTAGTCAAGGTAGTGAAACAGTAAACAATTAAAAAAACGCGTTCAGTTCAGCATTAACATTAACAAAGGACATCAAATCAAGAGACAAGATCAGTCAAAACTTAAAAAATGCAAACAGATAAAACAAATGCAGGTTAACATTAATATATGGCTTCCCCAGAACCAGGGTGAACTAACTCATTATTTTTATATTCTACAAGATTTTTTTATACACCATTTTGTTCTAGATTTAAAAAGGTATCAAGTTAAAAAAAAAAAATTCATGACAATATCTCTTACTATTATAAAAATACCATTCTAGTTCACCCAGTACTTAATATTAAAATGTTACAGATTACAAAACTTAAAAGCCTGATTATGAACATTTTAGAAAATCTGAGTTAGATCAGTCTGGTTCTGTGGAAGCGCTATAATAAAATGACATTAAACAGAGTGTCAATAAATCACTTCTCCAGAACCAGAGTGTTCTAACTTGTTGTTTTTTTTCAATTTTATTTTCAGATTTATCCTCGTTATGTTCTACAACCACCATCTCCTCATGGCTAAACAAAAGTGTGGCCATATCTCTCACGGGAACAGGGCATCCCCCCCCCCTCGCGGACATTGACTCCAAGTCAATTACCCCACTCCCAGTAGGACATTACCCCTCCTGACACGGTTAGAGCTAGGGTTAGGGTTAGGTTTAGGACTAGGACTAAGGTTAGGGTTAGGATTAGTGTTAGGCTTAAACCAATGTCTAGTGTTGGTTTTGTGTTAAGTTTTATGCTAAGGTGAATGCTTAGGTTTTGGTCTTTTTCTTAAGGTTAGAATTAAAGTAGTATATAGGTATAGATTTCTAGTTAGAGTTAGGATTTTAACTTGAAAGGGGGGGGGGGGGTAATTGACAGGGTGGTAATTGCTCGGGGGGTGGGAATGTCCGGGGGGGGGGGGGGGGTAATGTCCTGTAGCCATCTCTTACCATAATTACACAATACTTAGGCTACATTTCAAGAAGTGCTCAGTATAGAAGTTTTTTAAAAAATGTTCATGATAAGACTTTGATGTTTAGCTTTCATTAACATTGAGTTACAGGGAAGCAATATGTTCAAAATTTTAAGGTGCGGTCAGATCAACAATATTGTCTTACAAAATTATTCCTGTCGTCCCCTTCTAGAGAAAAGCTGTGCATCAAATACCAGCCATTTTTTAAAGGCCCTGGTGAACACTCAGGGGTCACAGGGTCATGTTCAGCCCCCCAGTTGTGTCCTGTGGGGCAGAAAGGTCACAAGACTTAATTATAAGGTCACATGACTTAACACTAAGGTCACATGACTCAACTATAAGGTCACATGACTATATAAGTTCACATGAGTTAACTATAAGGTCATGTGACTTAACTATAGGGTCAAATGACTTAACTATAAGGTCACATGACTTAACACTAAGGTCACATGACTTAACACTAAGGTCATATGACTTAACTATAAGGTCTAATGACTTAACAATAAACTGAATGAATGTATGTTTAAAATGTGCCTACATATATTCTAAAACTTAATGACTAAATTAGTGAGATCAACTATTTCTTAACATTGCTTTTCTTTAATGATGTTTTGTTTCTTTATAATTGGTAATTGTAAAATTAGGAATTATTTCTTCATAAGAAACATGTGGAACATCCCCACTCCAGTTAAAGTAAAGTTAAATAAGAATCACTTACCTATCTCTGAACACCAGAAACGATCATGAAATGAAATGTTTTAAAAAAACATTTTACATTTGTAAAATAATCTAGTATTTACTTAAAAGTGATATGATCATCTTTTTAAAAGGTTAACAAAATCAGATATAATAATTTTTAATTTTAAACGAATTTTTAGAAAAAAATTAGATACATTAGTGGCGGGATTGTATTTTGACATTTCCTTTACTAGACCAATATAACTGAACTAACATTTATAAGGGAAGTACTAAAGCAGTGAGCTCGAGTTTGAATCCGTGTTCAAGTTAGTAAACCATCCCTGAGTCCACCCAGCTATGATGGGTACCTAACTCACGTTAGGGAACGTGAAGGCAGATGGGCATAGTGCTGACCACACTATCCCTGCATATGCCGACCACACTATCCCTGCATATGCCGACCACACTATCTCTTAATATGCCGAGGTCACAGAAACAAGTGAACTCTATCTCACTTGCTCCATAGACCTTCAGGTTTGAAAGGGGAACTTTACTTTTACTTAAAGGAGTCATAGAAACAGGTCAACCTTGATTCATCTCCCAGGTTCAAAAAGGTAACTTTCATAAGTGCTAACATCATAACAAGTTTCCATAATTTAACAATAACATGTACCAAGACAATAAAGCACATACCATGAACCATAACAAGCACTTACATCATAACAAGTTTCCATAATTTAACAATAACATGTACCAAGACAAGAAAGCACTTACCATGGGCCACCACCAACACTGACACCTGGGTCAGTAGGTTCTGTCCCATTTGTCCAATGCTACTGCTGACTGCTGTATTCATGGCCATTGCATTGTCCACTAGAGGAGTTGACAGACAGAAAGAAGACAGTAAGTATGTTATAAGGGGGCAGCATGGTGTAGTGGTAGAGAGCTAGGCTGCTAACCTGAAAATCTCGAGTTCAAATCTGTGTTCAAATCAGCAGATTGTCCCTTCGTCCACCCTACTTTTATGGGTACCTTACACATGTTAGGGAAACAAAGATGGCTGGGCCTAGTGCTGACCACATTATCCCCTTGTATGCCAAGGTCATTGAAACAGATGAAGCTACCTCATCTGCCCCATGTGTCTTGGGTCACAAACAGGAAAAGTTGTAGTGCAAGTATACTATTAAATAACGGCATTGTTTCTCTACACATTCAAATCAAACTAACTTTCGATCTGAAGTCTTTGATAACATTATTTCACAAGATGGAAATACCTGTTTATTAGTGTTTATCAACAGACAAGGTATTAAAAAAAAAGTATTGCAAAGGCAGCTAATGAAATTCAAACTGGTTAAAACACTATCAAACAATTAAAACATAACTAGAAATGTCACAATCTTGAGTTTATCTGACAAACTAAAACTTGATTATTTTCTAAGGAAAACAGTTTTCTACCTAGTTCATGCTTTATATGGAGAGTAAGACACAAGTTTGTAACAAAAGGATGTTTCATTTACAAATCTACAGTCATAAGCAATAAAAACAATTGTATAATTTTTTTTAATAAGGGATGTAATTTTTTTATTATAAATCTGCTGTCATATTTTAAAATATTGCATTACATCTAAAATAACCCCTCCCCATTTAAACAGGAAGTCAGCAGAAAAAGAATTAATTACTTCCATCTTAGTGAACAAATCCTACCAATACATAAACCACTTACATCTAGATGAACAAATCCTACCAATACATAAACCACTTACATCTAGATGAGCAAATCCCACCAATACACAAACCACTTACATCTAGATGAGTAAATCCCACCAATACATAAACCACTTACAACTAGATGAGCAAATCCCACCAATACACAAACCACTTACATCTTGATGAACAAATCCCACCAATACACAAACCACTTACACCTTGAACAAACCCCACCAATATATTAACCACTTCCATTTTGATGAAAAAATCCCACCAAGACATAAACCACTTACATCTTGATGAGCAAATCCCACCAATTGCATGTGTCCGTGGTGAAGCAATGTGTGCGTAGCCTAACAAACCTTCACGGAACTTGCGATGGGTCAGCAAATGTGCCAGACAAAACCTGTCAAAACCTTGCTCTCTGTCAAATTGCTGGAGACAAAATCAACATTGTCAATAAGTACTTCAACAAATCTAGCAAACTTACAAGATATATATTAGATCTTTGGTGGTTAACATAGTTACCATCCAGACCATAAAGGCCTGTGTAAACATCCAAGCTAGAATCATGCAATACTAATAAAACATTATCAATTCTATTTTTAGTTTCAAATTAAAATCAATAATGAATAGGCCTATACATCAAAAAGCTTATGTGAAATTACTTTTCCAAAATTTTCATCAACATTACTAGCATATCAAGTTTAAATCTAGACCACTACAGTTGGATTTTAAAATCCTGCCCCCATGTCCAGGGCCCTCCACTAAAATGAAGACTTACATTTAAATACTCCAGGTCCCCCCCCCCCCCACTATAGCGTACTTACATTTAAATACTCCAGTCCCCCCCACTATAGTGTACTTACATTTAAATACTCCAGGGCCCCCCACTATAGTGTACTTACATTTAAATACTCCAGGGCCCCCCACTATAGTGTACTTACATTTAAATACTCCAGGGCCCCCCACTATAGTGTACTTACATTTAAATACTCCAGGGCCCCCCACTATAGTGTACTTACATTTAAATACTCCAGGGCCCCCCACTCCCCTGGCCCCATGTTGTAGTGAAGACCATTCTTATGAAACTTTCTCTGTTCAGTCAGCTCTGGATGTATCCTCAACTATTGTTCAAAAATAAAAATCATTTTTAATAACTTATCTCACTTATGTGCATTCAAGTTATGTACCATTGGAAGTAGGCCTACTTCTTTTCTTGTTTCCAAGTTATCTAACAATTTCTCTTCACTCTAACCATACTGAGCTTACAAACTTTAACCCTAAGCCCTTGTCTAATGCAGGATAATGATTTGATAATTTAAGTTAGAGAATCAACAAAACTGCATCCCCCATTTTAATTTATGGGACGGTGGTCTAGTGGTAGAGAGCTGGACTGCTAGCCTGTTAGTCTCTAGTTCAAATCCGGGTTCAACTCAGTAGATCGTCCCGGAGTCCACCCAACTCTGTTGGGTACCTAACTCATGTTAGGGAAAGTAAAGGCTGCTGGGCATAATGCTGACCACACTATCTCTTCATATGCCGAGGTCACAGAAACAAGTGAACTCTACTTCACTTGCCCCATAGACCGTCAGGTTTGAAAGGGAAACAATATTTAAATTTAAGGGGAATTTAAAAAGTAGTATAAGAAATGGTATAATGTCCTCCCGAGAACATAAAATATGAACACTACTAGCTGTCATATGTTAAATTCGTACTGTAGTAGAATTCATGAGTAAAATAACAGTCCCCTTTCAGCCCGTAGAGTCCATAGAGCAGAAGAAGTAGAGTTCACATTCTTTTTGACCTTGGCATATGGAGGGAGGGTGTGGCCAGCACTATGTCCAGCCCAGCTGCCATTACTTTCCTTAATGTGAGTCAGGTATCTAACAGAGCTAGGTGGACTCAGGGACAGTCAGTGATTTGAAATTGTGACTTTCATATTAACAGGCAAGTGATTTAACACTCAGCCACCCCACCACCTTTAGGGTTTGCGTGAAAAAAAAAATCTCTTAAACATAGGTTCAATCTCTTAAACATAGGTTCAATCTCTTAAACATAGGTTCAATCTCTTAAACATAGGTTCAATCTCTTAAACATAGGTTCAATCTCTTAAACATAGGTTCAATCTCTTAAACAAAGGTTCAATTTCTTAAACATAGGTTCAATCTCTTAAACATAGGTTCAATCTCTTAAACATAGGTTCAATCTCTTAAACAAAGGTTCAATTTCTTAAACATAGGTTCAATCTCTTTAACATAGGTTCAATCTCTTAAACATAGGTTCAATCTCTTAAACATAGGTTCAATCTCTTAAACAAAGGTTCAATTTCTTAAACATAGGTTCAATCTCTTAAACATAGGTTCAATCTCTTAAACATAGGTTCAATCTCTTAAACATAAGGTTCAATTTCTTAAACATAGGTTCAATCTCTTAAACATAGGTTCAATCTCTTAAATATAAGTTCAATCTCTTAAACATGGATTCAATTAGTGATCATTCCTACGCCTGAACAAGCTCAGACCATAAATTATGAATATTTAAAGTTCAAATATAAGGAAACCTCAGTGATCTGGAGACCCAGATTTCTGTGTTCATCATCCCAGACTGTTTCACGGAAAATCTTGTTCACTCCCTCCATGATGGCAATCTAGGACAGTGGTATTACATGACACATTAGTTATACATTGATGTGTGTCTTGGAGAAGGTACATGACATATTAGTTATACATCCATGTGCGTCTTTAACTGACTAAATGTTTGCCCAAATATAAAACAAACTATATGTTAAACTTACTAAGTGTTTAACTGACTAAATGTTTGGCTGATTAAACATTTGACTGACCAAGTATTTGACTGACTAAATGTTTAAGTGACTAAGCATTTGACTGACCAAGTGTTAAATTGACAAAAAATTTGACTGACCAAGTTTTTAACTGACTAAAAAATTTCACTGACCAAGTTTTTTAATTGACAAAAAATTTGACTGACCAAGTGTTTGACAGTCTTGTCTGGAGAGCCATGGCCAGGCCCCATGTAAAAAGTGTAATCTGCCACTATGATGATGCGACAGGTGTCTGCAGTCGCTGCTCGCCTGTTGCGTCTTCCATCTGTAAATACACAAAATTTAATTTTTTTTACAGCAACAATCAAATAATATTTAAGGGAAAGCTTAATTATGTCAGGTTAATTATATATTCTGTAACTATAACCAATTAAATACACATAATTTAATTTTTCTTACAGCAACAATCAAATAATATTTAAGGGAAAGCTTAATTATGTTAGGTTAATTTTTTTTCTGTAACTATAACCAATTAAATAAACAAAATTTAATTTTTTTACAGTAACAATCAAATAATATTTAAGGGAAAGCTTAATTAAGTCAGGCTTATTAAATATTCTGTAACTAGGCCTACAGCCAATTTAAATTAGTAATTATTTTTAGCAATCTATTTCCAAATAATGTTCATGTTTTTAAACAATTATGAACTGTAAAAAAGTAATTTAAAAAAAACAACTAACAAACATTTGTTGATTTACACAGTTGTTTAAGTTTCTCTTATAGTTTATAAGTGTGATTTGGGTTCATGTGGTCAAGCCCCTGTGGACATCCCTATGTCAACCAACCTCTGATGGGTATCTGACTCAAGTTGGGGGACAAAATGTGACCAGGCATGGAATTGACCACACAAAGTTGGGATTTAAGTAACCAGTGAACTCTACATCTTCTGTCTCAATATTTTTGTCTGAAAGTGTAAATATACCTGTTTATGTAAAAAAAAAGTTCCCCTTTCAAACCTGATGGTCTATAGGGCAAGTGAAGTAGAGTTCACTTGTTTCTGTGACCTCGGCATATGAAGAGATAGTGTGGTCAGCACTATGCCCAGCTGCCTTTACTCTCCCTAACATGAGGTAGGTACCCATCAGAGTTGGATGGACGGTCTACTGACTTGAACCCGGATTCGAACTCGAGACTTACGGGTTAGTAGTCCAGCTCTCTACCGCTAAACCACTCCGTCCCCACCTGTTTACGTCTGTGTATGTATATTTTTAGTATAAGCATCATCCTCACCTCTTGAAAAAGTATTTGTCTTGTGCTTCTCTTGTCCCATATTTTGAGTTTGTTGCTGATCGAAATCTTTTCTAGCATCAAGAATGTAAGAGTTAGAAAATAGTATTGTAATATTAATGTTAAAAATATTCAAAGAACTCACATCACTCAAATTTATATTAACTTTTTTCATATATTTGTGTGGACACAACTTATTATAAATATAGAAATATTTTATTTATTATATTAGCTTACAAATGGTTTTGATTGGCATGAAAACCTGGCAATATGTTACTCCACTTGATGTCTGAAGTGCGGTACATGATCATGGTGTGGTTGTCAGATGGTGGGAGATGTGGCCAGGAAGGCTGATAAACAATTGTTTTTAAATTAGATAGTGCTAAAATGATTAAACAATTGACTTAAAAATTAATTAAAATTTTATTTATAATTTTGGAAATAAATTGTAGGTTGGAGAAATTATAGAATACAGTATCCTTTGTACTATGGAAGAAATCCAATCCCTACCATTAAGTTTTGATTCTCGTTATCAGACTCTAGACTTTATTAAGTCTCTGTGAGTGCACCCATCTCTGATGGGTACCAGACTCATGTAAGGGGAAAGTATAGGTGGCTTGTCATAGTACTGATCACAATAAATTTTCATATGCAAATGTCACAGAAACAGGTAAAATATACTTCATCTTTGACAGCAAGGTCCAACAGGGTCTATTTATTTTTACATTAGGCTTAAAATGATTTAAAATGTAAGCCTAAATTTATTTTGGAAATAAACAATTATGTTGTAAAAATTATGTCATACAATTTCCTGCATTTGGAGTTTTACAAAAGAAATCAGTTACCTCTAAGGAGTAGGTTTCCTCTTTCCCATACACATGGATACTCCAAAGTCCTCCATCTGTGTAAGCATTAGCTGTCACATCTTTGTTTTCTAAAAGTAAATCAATGAATCTGTGTTAGCATTAGCATCTTTGTTTTCTAAAAGTAAATTAATGAATCTGTGTTAGCATTAGCATCTTTGTTTTCTAAAAGTAAATCAATGAATCTGTGTTAGCATTAGCATCTTTGTTTTCTAAAAGTAAATCAAGCCCCCAGCATATATAATGACCCATCAATTAGGAACTAATTTTTTAGATATAAAAATAGATTTTAAAATAAAAGAAAATAGAAATTATTAACATGAACTTGGTAATTTGCATATTTTAAAAGGCGTGATTTGGTCTGGTTATTATATTAATCGGTAATGGGATGTTAGGTAAAGTTCCTCTTTAGACCTATTGATTCATTGGGCAGAGGAAGTAGAGTTCATTTTTTTTATTGACATCAGCATATGAAGAGATGGTGTGATCAGCACTATGCCCAGCAACCCAACCTAGGTTATGTACCCATCTGAGCTGGGTGGACTCAGGGGCGTCTTACAGTCACAAGTCTGAACAGAGATACTAACTCGAGACCTTCAGACTAGCAGCCAAATGCTCTACCATTCAGCCACGTCATCCCACATTGAAACGTTAAGCCAAGTGCTAAAGACATTTTACAAGTATATCATTCATAAAGATTATACTGTGATTAATATGAGGTAAGATTTATCTGTTACCTAGTAAATGTCCAGTATAGAACTCTGTATGGTCAACATAAAGTGGGGATGAACTGCCATCCTTATGGACCAGTGTAGCTGTGAAATCACCAGTAATGACCTTGGACCCGGCAGTGAAAATAAGATTAAAATTCCTAGAGAAAAAAAATTGAAATAATTCAAATTGTGATTCGACAACTATAGAATTAGTATTATAAAAGGGTTGAAAAACACAATTAATTTAAAAAACAGTCGTAAATTACGGGAGGGTAGGGTGGAGTGTGATGTCAATTTAGGGAGGGGTGGTCTGACTATTTGTAAAGATGGGGGAGGGGTTAAAAAATTGGCCCAAAAAGCATAATGTTATTTTGGACGACAATTCTTCTTCTTCTTCTTCTTCGTTCTTAATTATTAGTGTTGAAGGGGATCGAGATTTATCTGCCAGTGGGTTTGAACTCGAGACTTTGTTCGAATTTATCAACCATGAGCTTTTTGCCGACTCGACCACGCCTCCAACACAATTAAGCGTTACGTGTCAACTGGTTATGCGCCATTGAGGCCATTGACTCCGATTTCAGCCTGCTTTTCTTTTTTGGATTTGCTTCCATAGCCTTTGTCCAACCAAGAACAAACTACAAGGCAGCAGTTGTTTTTAATTTTGGAGTTGTCTCTCCTAGAAGAGTGGCTGTCCCCAGCTAACGAGCCTCATCTGCCCTAGGGTTCGAACTCGAGACTTTTCGGACGACAATTAATAAACAGCTTTTGCTATTTTGTCAAAATAAAAATACAAATAACATTTTTTTAAAAACCAGTAATACAAAGTACATTTTCTTTGAAACTTTAAAATAAAAAGGAAATTTTGAAAACAAAAAGATATGTTAATTGTAGAAATTTTCAAACCAATAGGTCAATTAAATTTATCATTTTGTTTCCAGTAATTGATGTAGACATAATAATTAACACTGGGATGTGTATTTAAATATGTAAATATCCATATACATAAATAGAAAAAGAAGAATCAGATTTTGATCCTTTTGAGAAAACTTGTGATGTTTTAGTGCCTTAATTTGCATCATCTATTTTTAATATGTAGATAATAAAACCAGATGTGTTCTTAACAGTCAGTGTAATGTCAGTGTAATGAAATAAGACAATGCTTTCAAAAACAATTTTTTTAATAAAGAAGGTATGCAATAACTATATATAGTTCTTCTTTTTTAAGTTGACCTCTTTAATTTACAGATGTAGCAAAGTTCACTTTTAGAACCTGATGGCTCATGGGGCATTTGAAGTAGCGTTTAAATAGTGTGGTCAGCACTATGCCCTGCCACCTTTATTTTCCCTAATGTAAGCTAGGTACCCAAAAGAGCTGGGTGGGCGTTCTACAGACTTGAACACTGATTATAATTGAGACTTTCGGGTTAGCCGTCAAGCGAAACTATACAAAATAGTATAAAATTAGTAACAAAATGGTGTCGGCTTGGTCGAGTCGGTAAACCTCATGGCTGCTAAACCAAAGCCTTGAGTTCAAACCCTCGTTAGCTCGGGACAGCCACTCTTCTAGGAGAGACAACTCCAAAATCAAACAACTGCTGCCTTGTAGTTTGTTCTTAGTTGAACAAAGGCTATGGAAGCAAATCCAAACAGAAAAGCAGGCTGAAATCGGAGTCAATGGCCTCAATGTTGCATAACCAGTTGACACATATACGTAATTGTGTTTGGGGGGGGGGGGGGGGGGTCCCTTCCAACACTAAAATTAAAATAAAATGAAGAAGAAGTTAACAAAATAAATTATTTAAAGCTTTATTTACCTCCCGAAAGCAAAAAAGCTGACATCTTTGACAATAGCATGAGGGTTGTCTACACTTCTCTTCTTCCTCACACGGATATCAAGATGATGAAGGACCTCGAAGTATCTCAACTGATTATGCAGCTCAGCTAGAAATTGGAAACAAATGAAAAAGGTAATAGGAAGATAAAGTACCCAAGGCAATTGCATGTGGTAGTTATCTTACTGGCTGTTATATTTCTCTCAGCTGAACAATACAGTGCTGTAGAACTAATATTTAATAACATGACATGTTTCTGTTAGTAGGCCCTATCAAAGTTAATAAGTTAAGGAATAATCATAATAATTATTATTATTTATAGGAATATAGGCTATAATTGTGTTATTATAATTATAATACAATATAGCCTATAATTATTATGTAGTATAATAAAATAATCTTAAATCATATAGATCTAGATCTAGGCCCCTAAGCCCTAAGAAATATAAAAAATTACATCGTAATAAGTTAATATAGACTAGAGGCGAAATAGTTGAAATGGTGAATGAGTAGTGAACTAACCACTCGTAACGGGTATCGTACAAAATAGAAAATACAATCATCAATGACAGATAACTCACCAGAAAGTCCACAAATAACAGCAAATATGTGTATTATTTGCATGATCTAAATTATAGATCTAAATTACTAATATCAAGGCATACGCTTTGTATGGTTATTTATAAGTCAAGTTAAATTCGTTTTAAAATGATACGTTGCATCTAGACACCTTTTCTAGATCCTGGTTAAGCTTACACCTATTTTTTATAAAAAGCTTTTTAAAAACTGACAATGTTTTGAAGAATCTTGTAAAAAATTATCATAGTAGCCTCCCCTATGCGGAAGCTTTTTTTTCCCTCTTGTGTTTTGTCATTTGTAGATCTAGTATGTAGGCCTACAAATACAATCTTAATTGTATGCTGTTTTGCATATATAGACCTAGAGTCTAGATTTTACAGTTACACAGTAGAAACCTAAATAGGTGGTCATCCTTTCAAGTCACACACGCAATTTTACCCCATCCCACCCAGTATGAATATAGCGGTGGCCGGAAAGAACCGCAACGGAAAAAAGCGCAACGGAAAAAAGCGCAAAACAAAAAGCGCAACGGAAAAAAGCGCACACGGAAAAAAGCGCAAAGAGAAAAAAGCGCACACAGAAAAAAGCGCAAAGAGAAAAAAGCGCAAACAGAAAAAAGAGCAAAGAGAAAAAAGCGCACACAGAAAAAAGCGCAAACAGAAAAAAGCGCAAACGGAAAAAAGCGCAAAGAGAAAAAAGCGCACACGGAAAAAAGCGCAAAGAGAAAAAAGCGCACACAGAAAAAAGCGCAAACAGAAAAAAGCGCTAACGGAAAAAAGCGCAAAGAGAAAAAAGCGCAAACGGAAAAAAGCGCAAAGAGAAAAAAGCGCACACGGAAAAAAGCGCAAACGGAAAAAAGCGCAAACGGAAAAAAGCGCAAACAGAAAAAAGCGCAAACGGAAAAAAGCGCAAAGAGAAAAAAGCGCACACAGAAAAAAGCGCAAACAGAAAAAAGCGCAAACGGGAAAAAGCGCACACAGAAAAAAGCGCAAACGGAAAAAAAACGCAAACTGAAAAAAGCGCAACGGAAAAAAGCGCAACGGATAAAAGCGCAAAAAAAAAAAAGAAATCAGAAAAAAGCATACACAGAAAAGTGTGCACACCGAAAAATGCACAAAGAGCAATTTTCGCACAAAGACCTATAAGGATTAGATGACACATTTATACATGATTGTTAGGGCTGCTGTGAGAGTGTTGTGTTTGACCTGACGCGATATACTACCACTTAAAGCATACCACTACCATGCGCATTCACATCACCACGATACAGGCGATAATCGCTTGACACAACGTCAATTTTTTTCTTGTTCACTATTTATTCAACGACTATTCTCGTATAAATAAACATAAAACTGTCCTAGATATTGGCATTACACGGAGTATCTCGTACATGCTCCCTAGTCCCAAGCTTGCATTCTATAACAACCCGTTTCTATCGCAAAACTTCACTCTCTTTCTTCCGAGTCATCAAACATGCATTCGCTATATCTCTCGCACCAACATTCATTCGCACAAAAATACCCTGATAAAACACACATCATAATCATTATGTATTTAATATTATTTCATCATGATGTACCTATATCTACCTACCTACCTACTTACCTACCACATATATATATATATATATATATATATATATATATATATATATATATATATATATATATATATATATATATATATATATATATATATATATATATACATATATATATATATATACACATAATCTCATATATATATATATATATATATATATATATATATATATATATATGGTATATATGGTAGTGGTATGCTTTAAGTGGTAGTATATCGCGTCAGGTCAAACACAACACTCTCTCAGCAGCCCTAACAATCATGTACAAATGTGTCATCTAGTCCTTATAGGTCTTTGTGCGAAAATTGCTCTTTGTGCATTTTTCGGTGTGCACACTTTTCTGTGTGTGCTTTTTTCTGTTTGCGTTTTTTTTTTTTGCGCTTTTATCCGTTGCGCTTTTTTCCGTTGCGCTTTTTTCAGTTTGCGTTTTTTTTCCGTTTGCGCTTTTTTCTGTGTGCGCTTTTTTCCGTTTGCGCTTTTTTCTGTTTGCGCTTTTTTCTGTGTGCGCTTTTTTCTCTTTGCGCTTTTTTCCGTTTGCGCTTTTTTCTGTTTGCGCTTTTTTCCGTTTGCGCTTTTTTCCGTTTGCGCTTTTTTCCGTGTGCGCTTTTTTCTCTTTGCGCTTTTTTCCGTTTGCGCTTTTTTCTCTTTGCGCTTTTTTCCGTTTGCGCTTTTTTCTGTTTGCGCTTTTTTCTGTGTGCGCTTTTTTCTCTTTGCGCTTTTTTCCGTGTGCGCTTTTTTCTCTTTGCGCTTTTTTCCGTTTGCGCTTTTTGTTTTGCGCTTTTTTCCGTTGCGCTTTTTTCCGTTGCGGTTCTTTCTGGGAACCGAATATAGCCTATTTAACCACAGCGAAATTAAAAATGCTCATCATATCTGACAGTTCTAAAAATCATAAAAATAAGGTCTACGCTGTGTTACATAACATAACTAACCCCACTAGCAAAGTAGATCTTACTTATCACTAACTCCACACTCTTACCCCTGGGTGTGTAATATCACTTATGGACGGCCCTCAAACACACAAACACACACATACACAGCGCTCACATATCTAGTTTCTTAGAGAAAATAAGTGTAAGCAACATTCAATAGATAGCTGCGCTTATAAACAGCTTTATATATATTATATATTTTTTTCTTTTAGTAGATATATGTAGCCCCAGAAGCTTAGCGAGGGACGGGGTGCAGACCGCAACGGATGACACCATTGGGGGGGGGGGGGGTGATACCAATGCAAAAATAGCAAAAAAAAAAAAAAAAAAAAACCGATAATTAGAGTTAAAAATAAATAAATATAGTTAAAAATTATTTTACTTTAGAGCAAAAATGACAAATCCCGACAATGGGGGGGGGGGGGGGGGTGGGGGGCACCATGACGTAAACCTGCTAACGATATAGAAAACAATACTACATCCAGCTATAAATATAGCCGACTATAGATGAACATGTTAGTATTATCTGTGCACAGTTTAAAGCTATCACCGGGTGGATGAGGGGGGGGGGGGGGGTACCAACTAAAATTTGATTGGGGAAAAAAAGTTTTCTTTAGAAATGTAATAACTGACACGCCAATCCCAGAGGCGTATCGATGGGAGGGGGGGGCAGGGGGGTACATATGTCCCCGGGCGCCGACCTTAGGGGGCGCCAAAATGGGTTGTACAAACAAATTAAAATGTCATTTTAGCTGCGTTTTTGCATTATAAATAATTTGAGGGAGGGGGTGCAAATCGAAAGTTTGAGGATTGGGGGGGGGGGTGCAAATAAAAAGCTTGAGGGGGGTGGTGCAAATTGAGAATTCGCTCCCGAGGAGGGCGCCAAATTGAATGTTTGACTCCGGGCGCCGGGAAGGGTCGCTACGCCTCTGGTCAATCCACATCTAGAGTATGGTTGTCACCAACTTTAACAATGTACTACAAATACAATGAACTTTCCCACTTGAACAGTTAGAGTTTGGCCCCTAAAAGCGTTTTCTATTTGGATTTATATAATGTTTGCCCTTATATATATATATATATATATATATATATATATATATATATATATATATATATATATATATATATGTATATATGATAAGTATAATTGGCCTATTTTTAGTAAATATTTTAAAATTTGAAAAACAAAATGTAGAATTCAGTTTAAAAAAAATGCCTTATAAATGCGTCATATCACACGTTGTGTCCCTCTCCTTCTCCACTTACAGATGATCGCTTAGTATAACTGCAGCGCTGAAAACAAAATACTAGTTAAACAAAGAAATAAAAATCCTTGCGAATTAATCATACATTTTGGCCATCCCACAATCCCGCACCGAATGGCACAGTTTGCGCCTGCTAAGGGAGGTAATTAATAGGTGTCATTATTATAGCAAGGGTTACCGTTCGTGAAGCCTAATTGATCTCCTCGTTTGCCCTGCGCTTTCTCTGTTTGTTAAATTCAACGGCTCCAGCTAGTGGGCAACTATTTATCAACCCTACATAATCCTCAAATGTTGCTGATTGATCTTAAATCAAACGCTTGGTACTAAATCAAAGGGCAACGGCTTGTATGCTGTAAAACTTGGGGAGATAGGAAGAGTCAAGAATTAGTACAATTTGTAGATGCATTATGTAGGCTATATGTAATAATATAAAGACGGTTACAAGCATGTATGTTTAAACACCAAGTCTTTGACACAACGATTTAGTACAAAGGCGTAGCGACGGGTGGGGGGGGGGGGGGGGGGTTACATATGTCCACGTGCGCCGACCCTAGGGGCGCCAAAAAAAGCTCATTTTATCTGTTATTTGGATTAAAAAGTTTTAAAAATATATGGTTGGGGGGGGGGGGGGCGCCAAATTGAAAGTTTGTCCCCGGGCGCCGGGAGGGGTCGCTACGGCTCTGACTTAGTACGAAGAATAGTATATAGACTCACTAACTGCTAATTTAATGCATTATGCTCAAGTGTTTGTGTGCAAGACGAGTTTGGTAAAAAGCTACGTAAGATACGTAAAATAGAGATGGATAAAATAACTTGTAATAGCACCAAAATCATCACGAAAATACTTCCACATTTGAACAGAAGGGTACAGCATTAAAAGGTTTCACCCAATAGTAATCTATACCTCCATCCCAACCCTAGTATCTGCTATTTCTTTATCTGATATTATTGGAACAAACTAAGATTTACAATTTTTACAAAGTTATTTGCACATTTAAGAAATTTAAAATGTATAAAATCACAAAAATCAGACATACCAGAACATTTGTGACCAGTGCTCCTTTCAAACATCTCTCCGTGTCGGGGTGGGGGAGGGGTCACTTCCTCCCACAGCACTCCCACTCTCCCCCACCCTAGGCGAAATAGAAAAACAGGCACATTTAAATAGAAAATATATACATTAACCATTGTCCGCATACAGAAAGTTACAATCCCCCCCCCACATACACCCACACCCGGAAATGTCAAGTTCACCCACCTCATACCATGGAGAAAAATGTCTGAATGAAACTCTGAACGTGAGTCGTTGGCTTAATTAGACAAATGACTCCTTTTTTTTTTTAAATTTATATCATTTGATTAAATTTAATGAAATTATAATTAAATGATTAATTTAATTTTTAAGCAAAGCTAAT